TCCAGAGGTGTGCTAAAAAAATTTATTTTTGCAATATTAATTTATAATTTTTATCATATAACTTTTGAAATATTGTATTATTTATAACTACTATTCTAATTCTATATATTCCTTCCTAAAAAAAGTTGTATCTTACAATATAATTAACTGGAACATAAAAATATCTGACTGCCCAAACACTCCTAATTATACTTTTAAATAAATTTACATTATACACAATTAGAATTTTTTTTATTAAAATAAAAAAAAAAATTTAAAGTTACATCATATATAATTACTCAACCCAACTTGGTTATTATCATTGTCTAGGTTTGACCCTAAAGTTTGATCTCCTGTCATAAGTATGTGTATCTATTGAGGACAGATAGATACACAGATGGAAACCATTTCTATTTTTATTAAAAAGTTAATATTGTGAAATTTGTGATGTATATTTAAATATTAACGGTAACTGAATGAATTATCAGTTATTTTTCACTGGAATTAAATATGCTTTTAACCTTTTAAAACCTTTTAAACACATTCATTAATTGTGCATAATGTAACTGTTTTATAAACCTATGTATGGAGACATTCATTTAAATATTGAATAAATTAGTTTATTTCTTTGATTATTAAATATTAAATTATCAGTGTTGTTTTTAAATTTATATTCTAAAGTGAAAAAAGTCATTAGAAATTAATAATACGAAAATTATTTTATGCATTTTATCACAAATTTATTAAATAAAACATGTTGTAATGTATAATTTGAACAGATTTATTCAAAGTACTTTTGTATCAATAAAATTGAAGTATTTTATAATTAAGTGCAAAGAATACCAAGGTTATCAGTGACTTTATAAAAGTTATTTCAATTGAATAAAGAGATTAAATTGTAAATTTGATTTAGTAGTATAATAATGAAAGAAAATTGTTTAAAAAGACACATAAAAAAAATTATTTTTATATTTCATTTATTTTAGATAATAAAACTTAAAATTTAATATTTGTTTATCAAAATAATGACCATTACACCCTATATACTCTTAGTGTCACAAATTAAAACGTGCATACATATTTTTATAAGCACTTAACCACAATTATGTATATTTCAATTAAATACGCATATCATACAAACAATATTCAATATAATTTAAACAATTTTTATTGTTTTAGTTAAAAATGAATACTTGTGCTGACCTATTAAAAGATTTTGAACCAGGTCCATTGGATAAATACAGAAATAAATCTACTATAGATTGGAAAAAAATGAAAGTTTTTATTGAAACTGAACAAATACTACGTTTTAAGGTACTTTGTATACCCACAAAATATCACTGGAATAGGAGTTTCAACTGTTCCAATTTTTTGTAAAAATTAACTTGTTTTTTCACTTTTTGAACATTTTACATAAAAATCCTTTTAATAAACTGTAATAATAATAATGGTTATACTGATAATTATTTTAGATGAGAGCTTGGAACTATTTTGAATCTAATCCATTGTTTAAACATGAAAATGAAACACCATCATTAGATGAACAGCGAAAAATGGCTCTTTTAAGAATGTATGATATTTTGGAAAAAAACTTATTTCCATTTGAAGAAATAATGATTAATCCAAAACTTGTATGTCAAAAAATATCATGACATTCGTGAGTTATATATTTAACTTTTAAAATTTTTAAGGCTATGTCTAAAACAATAACAATTTTTCAATATTGCCCATCTGTTGCTATAAAACTTGGACTTTCGTTTGATATGTTTGCAAATGTTATTTTCACTATGGATAATGGTAGAAATTCAGATATCTACCAGTATGCAATTGAAGGAAAAGTAATATAATTTGTTTAGCTTATAATGGTGGAAAATGTTGTATTTTTAAAAGAATTAATTCTATTTTTTTAAGGTGCCTGGGTGTTTTGCACTGACTGAAATTTCTCATGGTACAAACACAAAAGGAATGAGGACAATATGTACTTATAATAATGAAAAAAGACAATTTATTTTGCATACTCCAGATTTTGAAGCAGCTAAATGTTGGGTTGGAAGTTTAGGTACATAAAAGACGTATACAATATTAGTTATAATAAATTATTATATATTATATAAAATTGTTTTACGGGTTTAGGGAAATCGAGTACACATGCAATCATTTGGGCCAATTTAATCATGAGTAATGGCGATAATAATGGATTGCATGCATTTGTTGTAAAAATTAGGGATGTAAAAACAATGCTACCATGTTCTGGGGTTATTATTGGAGACTTGGGTGAAAAAGCAAATTTAAATGGAGTGGACAATGGGTTAGTATAATTTATAAAAATATCCATTATATAATAAAGAAGCTAGTTAATTTTCTATGTTCATATTTAAAAAAATAAAGTTAACACTCCTAAAATTTATAAGGAATGGGTCTAAAAATAATTTTTTGCTGAGTAATCAAGAAATGTGTAATAATTGTATGATACTTTTTAAGCATTAATCCTTTTCTTAAAAATATTAGTATATAACTTTTTTAAAAATAGTTTCATTATATTTGACAACTACCACATTCCAAAAGAAAGTTTACTTAGTAAAGCAGGTGATATTAATGATGATGGTTTATATGTAACACCATTTAAAGACAATACAAAAAGATTGGGTAATATTTTATATTTTATTGTTTTTCTAGTGTTGAACATAATTATAATTAAATAACTTTATATAGGTGCTTCATTAGGGAGTTTGTCAGCAGGTAGATTAACTATTGTCAACATTTGTGTAGCATACATAACAAAAGCTGTACCCATTGCTATAAGATACACAGCAGTAAGAAAACAATTTGGACCAAAAGAAAGTGAAGAGTTACCAGTCATGGAGTATCAGCTTCTGGTAAATTAGTTCCCATTGACTATTTAATTTTTTTCAAATTATATTCATTAAAAAAACAATTTCAAAAAGTTAAAATATTTAAAACGATATTTTTTGAAACATTCTCTGAAATATAAACTGTATTATGTTCTAAAATGATCTCTTCCGTCAGCAATGTCGATTGATTCCATACTTAGCAGTTGCTTATGCATTGAAAATATATGGAGATTATGTATCAAGAGTATATGAGTCATTTATATTGGAAATGTTAACAAATAGTAGTTCTAATAAAATTGTAAGTAATTGAAAATGGTTTAAAAATTATGACATACTCTCAAGTTAACCATTAAATATTTTATTTTAGCAATCAATTGGAACTGATATTCATGTTATTTCAAGTTGTACCAAACCTTATGCAGCATGGGTTACTCGAGATGCAATACAGGAATGCAGGGAAGCTTGTGGTGGACATGGATATCTAAAAGGTTTTATTTTTAGAAATATTAATTAACTTAAATGAAATTATTATTAGTATTATTATTATTATTATTATTTTTAAATTAAAATAATTTCATTTAAAACTTTTAAATTTTTTACAAAAATATAAATAATAATAATTAT